AAAACTGACCTTTTCCAGTCCTGTGGCCACCATAGGCTTAGGCTTCCTCAAAACAAGGCAGCCTCAGGGAAGTCAGACTTCTTACATGGCAACTTAGGACTCTAAAGGTCAATGTCCCTGAAGATAAGTCACAAGCCATGCTGCCTCTTATGGCCTCAGAAGTCACAGAGTCTCATTTCTTCCTATTCTGTTGATTTAGACAATAGAAGTCTGTCCAGATTTAAAGCAGAGGGGATGTTAACCCTACTTCTCAATGGAAGAGTGGCAAGGTCACATTATAGAAGAGTGCATGGGATGAGACCTACTGTTCTGGTCATCTCTGAAAAAGACGATGTTTTCCCTTCCATCCACTTATCTTGCTGAAATATACTCCAATGATTTTTCTTTTTTTTTTTTTTTTTTTAGGAAAACACCTTAGAAGACTGCTATTTCTCACTGAGGCTCCTAAGTTCTAATAGAGGGTAACTAGATGCTTTCATCTACACCCAGCCCTCAATCTTTCCTATTCAATACATCTAACCATTTCTCTGCTATATACAGCTCCTGGCAGAAAGGAAATTTGGTCTCCTATAGGCTGCTGGACTTGGCATTAATCACTCTGAGGAGAAAAGCAGCCAGACATATGGGAGCTGTCCTGGCCCTCAGCTAGGTCTTGGTGTTCTCCTGATGAGTGTAATGTAGCCAATCTCACAGACCATAAACATCAAATAAGGCCACTCTGTGACAAAACCAAGACTACTGCATCCATGTCTGAAAACAGACAAAACGCCAACTTTGATCAAACCACAAAATGGCCAAAATATCCTCCTGTCCTGGGTGATAGCTGCTACTTTACCAATTAGCCTCTTTCTAGTCTGTTCTCCTAGATAAGATTAATTAAGATACCTGATCATGGAATTATCCCTATGTATAGTCTGCTGCTTCCTAACAGAATGCAATTTAGAATGAAGCCTCACTTCTTTAAATTCTGCCCCAAATCACCTAATACAAGTCCAAATCCTATAATAAGTCCTTTCTAACATCCTCTGAGATATTCCACCAGCTCCCCGTGGTGTGCATCCTGCCTCAACTCACTAAGTAAGCAACTGACTTGCTCAACCACAGGTATGTTCCTGGTGGTCTTCAGCTGCAGTGCACTGGTGACTCCTCTAAGGACCTTGAAATTAGAAAACACATTTCTGGCAAGGCCATTTCTGATCTTCTGGTCTCCAGCTTTCAGTAAGACTCTTATATGCAGTTTTGGAAGACAATTATATGAGTTCTTTGGATTTCTGAAAGCTATTAAAATGCTCCCATAGATACTATATATGTGTGTGTGTGTGTGTGTGTGTGTGTGTATATATAACAGTAGGTTATCAGGGTTTTTTCATCATATTATCAAGTACAGAAAAGTCATTATGATACATAGTAGCAATAACTCTCCTGTCTCCAACAGGTCACAGGATCTAAGGGCAACCTGGCTGCAGGCACATTGTTGTTAGGCCTCTACTGTGGGAAAAGCAGTAAGTTATACACCCAGCAACTGCCTCTTCAGTTGCAGATTCCAGATTCTAGAACATATTTGTGTCTCCTCTTCCTCTTCTGTTTTTCTCCTAACCTTATTTTTCAAAGAAACAACATGACATTAACTATGATAATTACCCTTCTCCCCTCTACTGTATAGTTCTCATTCACTTGATGTAAGAATTCTCATCCTCAGAAAAAACATTCCAAAGAAAACAATGACATCCATAGCCTTGTGGTTAAGTGCCGGATTTAAAACCTCACTCCACTTGAGGTTAGAGATACATACTGATTTAAGGTTAGGGACTTCCTGGCAGTCCAGTGGTTAAGAATCTGCCTTCCAATGCAGGGCACATGGGTTTTATCCTTGGTCAGGGAACTAAGATCCCACATGCCATAAGGCAACTAAGCCTGCATGCTGCAACTAGAGAAGCCCACGTGTTGCAATGAAGAACCAGCACAGCCAAAAATAAAAAATAAAGTTGTTTAGGGAATCAGCTGTAACAAGCAGGAAGTCTGGATTAGAAGAAATCTTGTCTGAATCTGAATTCAGGAGTGATCATGTGTTTGCTGCTCTGACACACCTGGCTGCAATTCCCTTTAGCATCCATCGGTCTGCTCTCTGGATCCATAAACTACTGAGTGTTCAGGCAACAAAATTAAATCATTCCTATTTAGGAATCACTTAGGACACAGTTCAAACTAACACAGGTTTCTTTTATTCCTTTTTATCCCCTCACATTCCATTGAAAACTATACTGTCTATAAGACTAAGTGTGAATTAGGCAGAGATGAGGACTGGTGAGGAGGGGAGGAGCCAGTGTACAACTCACCAACCATATGTGAAATTTAATTGATATTCAAGAGTCATGTGTGTGTTTACTGATGGGGTTCAGAACATGCTACTCCAAAATATGGTGTTATGGCATACTGAATATTTTAAAGCTGAAGGAGTTTGAGTAAATGGCAGAAACAAGGTCACTTGACCTCTTCACCCCTCTTCTCTCCTGAAACAGATCATAAAATCCTCATGTGAGATGTTCCCTCCTTATATCCAGAGGAGAGGATAATTTTTCTCTCCAAATACAAAGGGATGCAGAGAAAATCCTAACAAACAGGACTTGCTAAGTTTCCCCCAGTTTACTACACTTTCCTTGTACTCCTTGTCTTATTTCTCCATGATTTCCCACTCTTTGTCAAACCTAGCATAAAATTTTGTTGTTTGTTTAGCCACTAAGTCATGTCACCTGGGAAGCCAGCATAAAATACTGAATTCAGTTTCTCTAGGTCTTTATTTCCCTGTGACAGCTCCCAAGTCATGTAAAACTTACATTAAATACATTTGTATGCTTCTCTCTTGTTAATCTGTCTTTGTCAGTTTAATTTTCAGACCCAGTCAGGGACCTTGAGACAGTAGAGGAAAACTTTTTCTTACCCCTACAGTGTCCTGCTGATTCCGTTGTAATGGAAGACCTTCAGACTTCTGAAACATCCAGGTCACCTGTCATCCTAGTATCTTGCTGGTCACTGAAAAAGCTCAGAGTAGACCTAAGCCAGTTTATTTGGACTTTTTTGTGTGCATTTTATGTGTGTCTGCATGACTGGTCTTGAGGTTTTGTTTTGCTTCATAACTGGCCTGGGGAGAGATTTGGGAGCAAACACTAACAGGTGTGAGTGACATTTCTGAAAATGTGTCCTGACCTTTTTCAGGCCCATGTAAGAGTTTAGAGGGTAAGCAGAACTAGGGACTGCCATTCCCTGGTGACACAGTAGTAAAGCATCTACCTGCTAATGCAGGAGACCTGGGTTCCATCCCTAATGAGGAAGACCCCCTGGAGAAGGAAACAGCAACCCACTCCAGTATTCTTACCTGAGGAATCCCATGGACAGAGGGGCCTGGTGGGCTACAGTCCATAGGGTCACGAAAGAGTTGGACATAACTTAGTGACTAAACAACAACAGCAACCCTCCAGTAGGCTGTTTAGGTCAATCTATAAAGGAAGATTTCATGTTAATCTCTGGCACAGTAAGGTTTCTGGTTCCCTTTGTGCTCTAGAGTGAATAAACTGATTATTTCTTCTGAAGAGGGAGGGATTTCATTGAGGGTGAAAAAATAAAAAAAAATAAACTACTTATCACACTATCTCAATTCTGGCTCTTTATACAACTATTTCTGTGTTGATTAGATTGTCCCAACTGTCCTTTCACTTTTTTAACTTCAAACATAATTACCAGAAGTTAGAACACCTCATTTTTTTGGTGATGACACAAGTGTCATAAATAACTATAAATTACTAGCTGTGTGTGCCTGTGTGCTAAGTAGCTTCAGTCAATGTCCACCTCTTTGTGACTCCACTGACTGTAGCCCACAGGTCTCCTCTGTCCATGGGATTCTCCAGGCAAGAACACTGGAATGGATTGCCATGCCCTCATCCAGAGAATTTTCCTGACCCAGTGTTTGAACCCATATCTCTTATGTCTCCCGCATTGGCAGGCAAGTTCTTTATCACTAGAGTCACCTGAAGAGCACAAATAACTACCTATTTGAATATAACTCAGAAAGGGATCCGAAAAGAAAATAACTATTGTGTGTTTTAAATGATTTAAGAAACTCTGATCCCCATGAGTGAAAAAAAAACTGATGTAAATCTTACCTTGTTTAGTTCAAGAAGATTCATCTTTGCTCACCCATTTAAAACATACAAATGAACAATCAAAACACATCTGTTTTCATATCTACCATGGCTGAATTCAGACTTGTTTAACCTTTAGGAATATGCATAAGCATAGAGATGTCCTTTCTGGTTACTAATCTCAGTTCTGTTTAGACTAGTACTTCTCTAAGTGTGCTCCCAGAACGCCCAGAATGAGCAGTATCAGCATCTCCTGCGAACTTGTAGGAAATGTAAATTTGGGGGCCAATGCCAGACCCACTGAATCAGCAACTGTTCGGTGGAATTCAGCAATCTGAGCTTTAGCAAGTCCCCCAGCTGATTCTGATGCACAGGAAAGTTTGGGAACCACTGACTTGGACTGTCTGCTATACTGCTGTTTCTCTGGCAAACAAAGCAGGAGATATGATTCAAAAGTTTTAAAAGATTGCTTAGAATTTCAAGTAAATACACAATTCCCAGCTGTGAACTGAGTTTGCTAGAAAACTAAAGAGCTGGCACAGAGCGTTTCAAATGCTTAGACCAGAGAGCCCTTGAGTTCTGCCATTTTAGTCCCACTCAGAGCTTGCAGGCTATGCATGTAAATGGAGTTCTTGCTCTCTGGTAAGACTGACTCTCCAGCAGGGGTCCTGGAAGTGCCACTGTGATGGATAAATGCTCTCACCAGGTATAAACGAGTTTGGGCCTTAAGTGCTACTCAGTCACTCTCCAGATTGCTGAGCTAACCAGTAAGGAAACGTGCTTGGAGAAAACTGCACATAGTTTTGCCCTGTTTATTATATCTTTAAAATATATGTCAAATCATCACATCAAAGATCATCCCAGATGGCACCCTCTGGAGCGTTTGGCCCCCGACAGGTTTTTTATCTCCTTGTATTGTAACTGCCTGTCTCCAAATGCATACTGTAATTGACAGGCTCTAACTGTCGCGGAAATCATCCAATATAGGTACAATTCGCATGTGCCGGTGCCTCGCCAACAAAATGTTTTTTCACTGCTGATTTTACCTTCCATTCATCTGCTCCCGACCTCCCCTATTCCCAAACACTACAAAGAAGATTCACACGCTCATCACCTACACAATATAATTACATACCCTCTTCCGACACCCTGGTCATCACTTCTCGCCGCCGGGTCCGTCAGGCTGTCAGTTCCCCCGACTCCTCACCCCCTTTCACTTCGGTTCCCCTGTTCCAGCGCGACGGGAGGCCAGGACTTGCCTACGCCTTCAGTCCAAAACAAGTGTTACAAACTTCCGCCTCCTCTGCTCTCCTGGTGCCGGCCGACGGCCCCTGCTTTCCAGCCTCGGAGAGAAGCTGCGCTGGCAGTGGCCAGACTCAGTTAGCCGGTGGCCCTTACTTAGGGTCGGTGATAATAGAGAAGAGCACTGCATATTTCCCGGATGCCCTGGGGCGACGTACAACGGAGCTCCCACAACCCTCTTCGCTTCCGCTTGTTCCACCCCCAAACTCCGACATTAACCCCTTCACGTCCATGTTTATTGGCCTATCGACGACTCCAGGCACGCAGATTGCATCACTGGGAGATCCCCGACACTTACATGGTAAAAGACGTGAAAGGCGGGACCCCTAGTTGTAGGCTTCCCATGTGGCACTAGTGGTAGAGAACCTGCCTGCGGAACATAAGAAACGCAGGTTCGATCCCTAGGAATGGCAACCCACTCCAATAATCTGGCATGCTGTAATCTATAGGGTTGCACAGAGGCCGACCCGATTTAGCACGCAAGCAGGCCCCTCAGTTATAGTTATCTCGTTTTTGCAGCTTGCTTGTAAATTGGCTTGTAAGCTTACCTGCTACTGCTGCTACTGCTAAGTCACTTCAGTCGTGTCCAACTCTGTGCGACCCCATCCCTGGGATTCTCCAGGCAAGAACACTGGAGTGGGTTGCCGTTTCCTTCTCCAATGCATAAAAGTGAAAAGTGAAAGTGAAGTCGCTCAGTCATGTCTGACTCTTCGCGATCCCATGGACTGCAGCCTACCAGGCTCCTCCGTCCATGGGATTTTCCAGGCAAGAGTACTGGAGTGGGGTGCCATTGCCTTCTCCGGTAAGCTTACCTACTCATTTATAAATACGACCTTAATATATTTGTTGACAACATGAACAGTTCACAATGATGCCTTTAAGTTTCTGAACCAACTGGCACTCTAAATTTGCTGTTTTTGACTGTTCACCTTGATCCTGTGCCTTTTCTACCTTCCATTTCCCATCTCCTTTTAGTTCTTGTCTGACTATTTAACCGCATGCCTCAATGGTTAAGGGTACCGATTTTGTAAACCGGGTTTTTTGGGTTTGAATCTCCACTCTACTATTTATCCAACCATGGAATCTTGGTTAAAGGATTTAATCACGCTATTCCTTGACTTCCTCATCTGTAAAATGGGTATAATAGTAAGATCTGCCTCTAGAGTTGTAGTGAGAATTTTAAAAGTCATATGCAAGCAGCACCTAGAACATTGCCTAGCAAAGATTTAAGTGGTATATTGGAATAAAAATTACAATTATTGACATTGATGGATATGTCTCCTCAGCTAAGACCTTCTAGCTGATAAATAGTAAATGATAATCTTGATTAACATTTGATTATCTGTGGACCAGGTACTGTGTTAAGTGCTTTACATCCATTTCTGTTGTTTAATCCTCATCATCATTGGTAGTAGTCGTATTATCCTTCTCTCCCCTCCTCTTTGTTTTTCTAAGCAACTAAGAAAATTCAGAACTATAAGATTGCAGATAACTCAGAGCTACTAACAGATAGAGCCAAGACTTAAAACTCTGATTTGTCTTGTGTGCGTTAGTTGCCCAGTTGTGTCCGGACTCTTTCTGATTCTGTGGACCGTAGCCCACAAGGCTCCTCTGTCCATGGAATTCTCCAGGCAGGAATACTAGAGGGTGTCTCCATCCCTACTCCAGGGGATCTTCCCAACCCAGGGATTGAACCCAGGTCTCCTGCATTGGAGGCAAATTCTTTACCATCTGAACTACCAGGGAAGGCCTTTTAGATATGACTTGACCCTTCTCAAATATCACTGAGAAAACTGCCATAAATTCTTTGTGAGTGCTCTTCTTTTCCATAAGAGTTCCCTCAATATCCATGCAGGTTAGGAAGGCTAAGTTCTTTTCAGAGGCAGAAGGACAGCAGACAATAAAGCAAGGGTCTCTTCCCTGAAGGCTGGCTGCAAAGATGACTAAAATAGCAAGTCATAATGAACTCAATTATTGTGCCCCACTGTGCCACACAGGCCCTATTACTGCCCATACTGCCTAAGACCACCGGAGATAAAAGGTCCAGGATCCCCTCCTCACCTCATCATTCTCTAAAGCTTGGATATTATAAAAAGATTTTTCTTGTTTTAGGATGGCACCAAGAGACTCTTTAATATACTATTATGACTCCAGCCAAAGTGGTAGTAATTTCCACATTAGCAGCAGGTAGAATCAGGTATTTCTACCTCAGCCCAAGAGCACAGGGAAATCTCCTCTTTCCTAGATAAAAACAAAAAAGGAATCACCTCTTTTCCCTCAGATCCTACAGTACCAGGGTCTTGTTATTCTCGCTCCACACGTTACCTACTCCCACTTCCCAACTGATGCTCAGGCAGTTCACAATGTTTTTTTTTTTTTTCCCAGGAGAAAGGCTGCTGATGGTAAAGGGACTGGTAAGGAAAAAGAATGTAAGTCCCCAAGTTTGCTGAAGGTAAACCAAGTACTGTTTTGTCCCTACCCCTGTACCCATTTTGTAGCTCCCTAACCTTCTTTACTCCCTTTTGGCACTTCAGAACTCATTATCCTGCACACCCAGGAAAGCCTTTGGGCTTGAATTGCAGAAGAATCAAATTGTCTTTTTTTTCTTCACAACCCCCAACAATAGCACGCATGGATAGTCGTGTGTGTGTGTGTGTGTGTGTGTGTGTGTGTGTTTAATGTGGACCATTTTTTAAAAGTTTTTATTGAATCTGTTACAGCATTGCTTCAGGTTTTTTTCAAATATGTATTTATTTGGCTGTATTGGGTCTTAGTTTCAGCACATAGAATAATCTTGGGCATGCATGATTTTTTTAGCTATGGCGTGTGGGATCTAGTTCCCTGACCAGGGCTTGAACCCAGGCCCCCTGCATTGGGAGTGTGGAGTCTTAGCCACTGGACCACCAGGGAAGTCCCTGCTTCATTTTTATGTTTTGGTTTTTTTGGTCATGAGGCATGTGGGATCTCAGCTCCCCACTGGGAATTGAACTCGCATCCTCTGCATTGGAAGATGACGTCTTAACCACTGGACCACCAGGTAAGTCCCTGGGCTTGGTCTTCTACTCAAAATGGCTAAGTTTAGATTCTTCTCCCATATAGGCCATCACACTGACACAACATTGTGGGTCAACTATGCCAGTATTCTTGTCTGGGAAATCCCATGGACAGAGGAGCCTGGTGGGCTAGAGTCCTTGTGGTCGAAAAGAGTTTGACACAACTAAGCAACTGAGCATACCTATAACTTTTTTTTAAAGTGTGTGTGTGTGTGTTAGTCACACAGTCATGCGACCCCATGGACTGTAGCCCTCCAGGTTCCTCTGTCCATGGAATTTTCCAGTGGCTAAGTTTAAAAAGATAAAGGAGAGGGATAGAATTAGAAAGCTTTTATCTTAATTTCCCCCATTACTTCTAGTGTCAGACTATTATAAAGTGTCAGCATAGGGGTAAAGCTGAGAGAAGTCCAGTTCCAGAAGTCAGGAAATCTTCCCTGGCACAAAGCATAAGTGTTAACAGAAGGAAAACAAGCAGGCAAGGGTGTCTCTAGGGCCAGTAGAAATAAAGCAGAGTTTGGGTGCAGATCTCAGACATAAACAAGAGACCCTACACTTATAGCTCCTTTCATCCTAAACCCATATTCCCATTCCAGAGACTTCATCTGCCTCAAATTCTTACCAATCTGGTTTTTTGACTGCTGGGCAACTTGCCCTGATCACAGAAGCCACCACCAGCTGCTATTGCTTTGCAAAGAGAGTAGGTAAGGGGAGAGGATATTCCTTATTCCTAAACCCAATTTTAGAAAGGGAGATGTGTTACCGGTATCTCATCCCAGATGTTCTCATAATGTAATTTTAGAAACTGTCATATGTAGTTTGTGTTCAAGTTCTGCCATGCTTTCTGTGGTATTTTTCAGTTATATGTTTTTAAGGGCTCATCTGGGGTCCTAATACACATTTGACAGTGTTTCTATACTGTAGGGTACACACACTGCTGGTGACCAGTTCAGGCTCCCTTTACAAGGCAGATGGACTGATTCCCCCAGCAGCTGTGGGTGTTAGCAGCTGACTACAGCTGCTTCCTTTTCTGGATAATTGCACTGTGCAGAATAAAAGCTTCAGTACTGTTATAAGACTCATTCTCCTCACACACCCCTGCAACCTAACAAATGAAAATGAGGCCCAGCGTATTCCTAACTTCTTTTGTCTTGCTGACATCAACAGATTACATTCTCTCAAATTAGAAAGTAGATTCATCCATGCTTCATTGTAGTTCTTTTTCACTACAGACTATGGGGAAAAAACTTATAATTGTTAGAAAAAGCTATTCGAGACTTGTTAAAATTTTGGTTAGATTATAATTATTTTGTGATAGATATTCCTGCTCTAATAGCATGAATCTTAAATTGATCAGTTATTTGCTATTTCATTTCTGTTGACTGTAAGCTGTTACTGAAGATGGCCAAGAACAAGCCCAAGGTTGTGTATCTAATAAGGATACTCTGATTAAGCTAGAAATGTTAAAAAAAAAAAACAGACAAGACTACCAATTTCCAAATAATAAAAATATATCCTAAAATAATTCTGGTATAATTCAGAAGACATATTGGGATCATTATTATAAACCTTGATCATAATATTGTAGAAGTGTGTAGGTATTGGTTGAATAGGGTTCAGGTTGGAAAAGTGTTCAGATTAAAAATGATCAGATTTTTAAATTTACATTTGCAGACATACAAAATCCTTTACTTCTGGCATCACACTCAATTTCTTCCTCGAACACATAAATCCTATTATAAAGCCTTTGTAAAACCACCATACCAAAACAGCTGGCTAAATCCACTCTTCTAGCTTAAAAGAGCCAAGGTGATTTTTTTTGCTGGGGTTATCCCCTCAATTAACTTCCATCTAAATTAAGACCCAAACATATCTGAAAACTTATTTCTCTGTGGATTTTAATATATTTTTTTAGTGTGACCTCTGATCATTAATTCCCTTTCATTTATTATTTACATGTATTTATTTGTATATTCTATGTTATTATTTATTATTTCAGGCTTCCTTGTGTCTCAGCTGGTGAAGAATCCACCTGCAATGCGGGAGACCTGGGTTTGATCCCTTTCAATTCCTTTTTACTTGCTATTTTGCTAAATATATTGATTTTATCCTCCCTTGAAAAAAATCAGATTATGAAAAGTCTTTTAAGTGTTGGTTTTTGATTTGGTAACTGAAATAAACACTTCCTATTTCATAAAAGGAAAATATCATTATTTAAAAATTTATACTGATCTGAAAACTATTGTTTCTGAAAAGTCCTTTCCACATTAGTCAAATAAATCTCAGTATTTATAGAGCTTGTTCAGTAATTTAGTTCTGTACAAGATTTTCAGTATAGTATAGGAAAGAATACTGTGTTAACTTGCTTAACACAGGTATACTGAAGAGAAGAAATGACTTTCCTAACTTATCTGTAATCATTGTTAAATGAAGTCTTGGTAAGAGCAAAGAATGGTGAATTACTCATTAAAATTTTTGAAGTACTAGAGCATTGGAATGGGTAAAATTATACAGGAGGATAATATAACTTATTTTCAGAAATAATAAGAAAATTGTATGAGGGTAGATATGCAAATTTTATTATAACAGTACCCTCTGTTGGTATTTCTCAAAAATTTTCTGCCTATCAACCCTTAAAGGTTTCTAAGATTGTAAATGATTAATTATCACATTGTCCATTTCTAATAAAAACATTTTCTAAGTCTTCATCTTTCAACATTCACCAGTTTCACCATGGAAATATGAAATTTCAGCATCACTGTTGATACACAGTGCCCATCTTTTCCGGCCTAGTTGACAGATATGCATATTCTAAAATCCCAAGCCAAATGTCACTCCCTCTGTGACAAAAGACCTTCCCAACCTCCTTTTTCCTATGCAGAATTCATCCTTTGCTTAAATGTGCACTCATAGGTCTTTATACATACCTCTTTTAGACCTTGCATCTCACTGTGTTATAATAATATGTTGCATAAGTTAACAATTGTTTTTGCACGTCATTAAGAAACCCATTATTTTTCTATTATATAAAAAAATCCAAAAGTAGGCAGTTCAATATTGTTACAGCTTCTCCTTTCATTTTTATGCTTTATTTTCCAAGCTCAAGCTCTGCCTTCCTAGCTCAATTTCCTCAATGTAACAATATAGTTGCTGTAGCTCCAGCCATCACACCCATGTCCTGGGCAAGAATGAGTAAAAAGGTAATGCAAAATGGCCTCCCGGCTTAACAACTTTATAAGCACTCTGACTCCTCCTCCCCCACCCCAGTGCATGTATGTGCACATACACATACACACGGACAAAATTTTGAAACTTTCTAGGAGGCCCCACCCAACAACTTCCACCTACGTACCATTGACCTATGTTTAGTCACATGGACATCCCTATTTGAAAGAAAGACTGAGAAATTACATTTTTTCTTATTTGGGTTCATATCCACACCCCCCACCCAAGAAAATCAGGTTTTATCACTTAGAAATAATGGGGAGAAAGGGATAAACAACTAGCAATCTCTGTCACATTCTTTCACTTAAGAAAAAAAATCATACCTGTTTCCTTACCTAGGCTGTAAAATCTTGGATGGTTTAGAGTATGTCACATTTATTTTGTATTTCAAGGGCCTAGAATAGTACATGACACTATTTATTGTTTATTTTCTTCACCTGCAATGTGAAGGGTTATTTTATGTAATCTTCCAAATAAAAAAGATTTCATGTTTTACCAGAATAATTTCTGTGCTTTGTGTTGACTTTAATCATGTCCTTGATTATTTAAGAAAACAAAGCTTCCTCACTTATGATGGAGCTAAGGTTCTTGAGAGTCATGTTACCTTCTGTGTTTATTTTTAAATGCTTTATTGTTCCCTTCATATGAATAGCCAAATACTGTTTCTTTTCACCAACTAGCCTATTTTAAGTATTCAAATTTCTTGACTTTTGATTTTGTTTTCTTCCTAAGGTTGAATCCTAAATGTAAAATGAAATGAAATAACTTTCAGGATATATTTTGCACCTAAAGCTATGTTTGATGTTTTCCAAAGGACCCTCAGTTGGTCAAAGATTTGTTCTTTCTTTTACCTTAGAAAAAGGTGCTAGAAACTATTATGTTTATTTAGTGTTACTATTGATGAAATGCATAGGAAGAGTTGTCTAATTAGAAGAGATGCTCACTTTCCCCTAAGTTACATTTGTATGGGCAAAGTATTACTAACATAAAAATGTCAGAAATTGTATCCTAAATGGAAAATAATTAGAGATTTCTCAAGGCTCTTGGTCTCCACAGTATTTCTATTTATCAGAGTTCTGGTGGTACTTTGCCTGAGAATATTAGGCAAAAGCAGTTTAGCATTATCAGTTATAATTTTAGTTATTATTATAAACCTTTTCTTGGCCACAACCTTACTTCTTATTAATTTGAATCTAGCATCTTCAAAGCCTGTGGCTTTTAAGTGAGGATGTGTATCAGACTTAAGAGTTCCATTGAAATATAGGTTTTGTTGTACCTGCTCCAGATTTACTGAATTTCTTTAGTTGCTATTCTATTTTTTATTGGAGGATAATTTCTGTACAATGTTGTGTTGGTCTCTGCCATACAACAATGTGAATCAGTTATATATGTGTGTGTGTGTGTGTCTGTGTGTGTGTGTGTATGAGTGTATGATATATATCCCTTCCCACTTAAGCACCAACCCCCCACCAATTCTACCCTTCTAGGTTGTCACAGAGCACCGGGCTGGGCTCCTTGCATTATACAGCAGCTTCCCACTAATGTATTTTACACGTGATAGTGTGTATATGTCAGTATTACTTTCTCAATTTGTCCTAACCTCCCTTTCCCCCCCTGTGCCCACAAGTCTGTTATCTACATCTCTGTCTCCATTTCTTCTCTGTAAATAGTTTCAACAGTACTATTTTTCTGGATTCCATATGCATGTATTAATATATGGTATTTGTTTTTCTCTTTCTTACTTCTTCACTCTGTATAACAGAATCTAGGTTCATCAACCTTACACCAACTGACTCAAGTAATATCATTCTCAACAGTGAAAACCTAAAAGCATTTCCTCTAAGATCAGGAACTAGTTGATATTCTTGATATTCTATAAATATATATTCTTCCTGTATGTTTAGTATATTCATGGTATAGAATGTACATCATATCTCTATTATTATCTTTCAGTTTTTTCCTCTGTAAAAATTGTTTCTTTTTTTTGTAAATCAGATGTAATATTTACTGTTTTTGATGAAAATATACTCAATTGTTATAGATATTTTGTTGAAAACTTTGGTAATTGGCATTATCAGAATTGGCTCTGATATACATTTTGCTCCATTAGTTTGTCTTCTAGGAAAAAGGATAAACAGATAATTCAAAAAAGAAAAAAAGGAGGGGTCTCCAATTAGAGGACTGAAACCCTAACTGCTTTTTTGGAATTCTGGATTTCTTTTTCCTTTTCTCAGGCCCCTTAATTTCATGCTTTATAAAAGGCACAGAAAGTAGAGCAAACCCTACATGCTGTGGTTCAGAGAATATCAAGCGATCTAGACAATGCTACTGCAGTGGGTTGAATGGTAGACCCTGAAAGATATTTCCACCTTTAATCCCTGAAATCTGTGAATATTGCAATATATATTAAGCCAAAAATATTCATAAAGATTTTGAGAGGAGAGCTTATCCTGGATTATCTGGGTAGGCCCTAAGTCCGAAGAAAAGTGTTCTTAAAAAAGTGAGACAGGGACTTTGCTGGTGGTCCAGCAGCTAAGATTCCGAGCTCCCAATGTAGGGAGCCTGGGTTAGATCTCTAGTCAGGGAACTAGATCCCACATGCCACAACTAAATATCCTGCATACTGAAACTAAGACCCAGCACAGCCAAATAAATAAATATTTTTTAAAAAGTGATGCAGAGGAAGATTTGAGAGACACAGAAAGAAGGCAGTGTGATGAAGGCAGATGTTGAAGAAATGAGTCTACAAGTCCATGAATGCAAGGGTAGCTACAAGAAGCTGAAAGAAACAAGGGACCATTTCTCCTCTAGGGCCTCTGGAGTGAGTGTGGCCCTGCCACATTTCAGATTTCTAGACTTCAGAACTGTGCAAGAATAAAGCCACCAAGTTTGTGGCAATTTGTCATAGCAGCCTTATGAAACTAATAACAACCACTTAAAATGATAGAACTTCATGCCCCAGAAGTTCATGCAATTGAATGGGCCATGGTTCAGAATTGAACTACCTTAGATATAGGATTGGCTTCTTGAGGGAGAACGTGAGCTAATTTAACAGTAGGATGTTGTGCCTACATCCCTACAGTACTCTCCGAGATTTATTTATTTATTTATTTTTGGCTGCATTGGGTCTTGATTGCTGCATGTAGGTTTTCTCTAGTTGTGGCTTGCAGGCTCTAGAGTGCAGGGCATATGGGCTTAGTTGCACTGTGGCATGAGTAACCTTCCTGGACCAGGGATTGAACCCATGTCCCCTGCATTGGCAGGTGGATTCTTAACCATGAAAGAAGTTCTCTGAGATCTTTGATACTACTAAAAATCAGGAAGTAAACCAAGAAATCTGAATTTGGGTAATTTGGAGAACAACCCCATAGCTGGTTTGGCAGGCTCTTCAGATCAGGGATGGGATATACCCCCCTTGGTTTAATATAGGCATTCATGGCTCCTGACTGAAAAGTGGACCACGAATTCTGATCATAATCAAACATATAAACTCTGATCATAATACTTCTTTCAGTATTTAGTATTATTTTTCAGTTTCAGATCTGTGATCTCTATCACAGCTGTTATTATGACAAACAATCTAGCAAATGGCTATATAGCAGGAAGAGCAGAAAAGCCTGATACAGAGATATAAACAACCACTGTGGGAAACTTGGGGACCAGAACAACTATAGACAAACTTGACATGTGATTGTGATACCCCAAACAACAGTGAAAATCCAGAATGGTCACACCTTAGATATTAATAGTGTATTTAAGGGAAAACTGAAAGCCCAAACTGCCTATCCCCACACTCAGCCTGGACTCTGAGAACCAAAACTATGCTTACTGTCTATATTAGTATAACTTTGCTGTTCCTCTGTCTTCATGAGCATCTCTTTATTTTCAGGACTGTCCTGCCCAGGCAAACAGTTTGATTGCTCATCCCAAGAACTTCCCCAGGAAACAAAGTTAATATTCAAAAGTGTCACTTTCCTATATACCTGCAATGATCAAGTGGCGTTTGAAATGAAAAACACAATACTATTTACATTTAGCACTCCCAATGATCTATAGCTTCAGTGCAATCCTGATCACAATCCCAACAAATTATTTTGTGGATATCGACGGACTGATCCTAAAGTTTATATGGAAAGTCAAAAGACCTGGAATAGCCAACACATGCTGAAGAACAAAGTCAGAGGACTGACACTACCCAACTTGAAAACCTACTATAAAAGCTACAGCAGTCAAAACAGTGTGGTATTGGCAAAAGAAGAGACAAATAGATCTGTGTAACAACATACAGTCCTAGTACAGACCAACAAAAAATAATCTTTGACAAAGGAGAAAAGATACTCTTTTCAACAAATGGTGCTGGAACAACTGGTCATCCACATGCAAAAAAATTAATATAGACACAGACCCAGTAGGGCTTCTCTGATGCCTCAGTGGTAAAGAATCAATCTGCAATGCAGGAGACATGGGTTCAATCCCTGAGTTGGGAAGATCCCCTTGAGGAAGAAATGACAACCCACTCCAGTATTCTTGCCTGAAAAATTGCATGGGCAGTGGAGCCTGGTGGGCTACAGTCCAAAGCATTGCAAGAGTTGGACACAACTGAGTGACTGACCACATACTGAATACCCTTCATAAGAATTTCCCAAAAGACCCACCAGCGCTTCAGTGGAAAGCATTGACAAAGTTTGCACCCTAAGATTCTCTGAATTTCTTACCTCAATTCTTGGCTTGCTGCTTCCACCACTCTTGGACTGTCGTGTCATGAGTCTTACTCAATCCTAGTCAAGTCTCCACACTGAAATCTCTACTTTAAAACAAACACCCTATTTTAATCAATTCTATCCTTACCTTCTTCCCTCTGAGACACTGCCAAATCTTTATGGAATAGATGTTCTGCCTTGCTGTGATAAGTAATATACTCAAGCTTTGTTTTTCAAGTTGTGTTGGTGATACTTGGGGAGCTGATTTTATATATATATATATATATATAATCTAATATATCTGGGGCTTCCCTGGTAGCTCAGCCGATAAAGAATCTGCCTTCAATGCAGGAGACCCTGGTTGGATTTCTGGGTCGGGAAGGGATAGACTAACCACTTCAGTATTCTTGGGCTTCCCTGGTGGCTCAGATGGTAAAAAATCCGCCTGCAATGTGGGAGACCTGGGTTCAGTCTTTGGGTTGGGAAGATCCCCTGGTGGAGGGCATGGCGACCCACTCTGGTATTCTTGCCTGGAGAATCCCCATGGACAGAGGAGCCTGGCAGGTTACAGTCACAAAGAGTTGGACATGACTGAGCAACTAAGCACAGCACAGCACATCTAATATATCTAGGTATAGACATAGATATATACACACTTATAATTTGCATCCATCAATCACATGGAAAAATTATAAAGATTAGATCACAGATCATTGTGTCAAATTCAATATATTTCTATCCAATAGTAACCAAAATGATAAAGATTGTTTGGCAATTCTTGATCCTGTTCAGTCTCTTCACAACCCTCTTGCAGTCCATCATCTCTTTGGGTACTAAGTTATGCATCTGAGAAAGGTAGATCACTCCAGGGTTGCATTCCAGGCCCAGCCCCTCAAAGAAGGTAGGGAACTAATATATATATATCAGAATTATTCCATTTCATTATAATTGTAGGGAAGGATGAATTGGGTAAATGCATTCAGACTAGGTATCCCCAAGGAACTAACCAAGCAAATTGAAGTGAAGTAAGAAGGAAGGATGCACAACAGTCATCAACTCCTAGATCATATATTTGAGTAAACATTATACACATAGTGCACATACTCTATGTGCTGCATCATTATTTCTATAACTGTTTCTCAACTGAAAAATATATTTAAGGTAACTCTTAAAAACTTTCTCAGACCCAATCATTTATGTTAATTTTTATACTACTATTTCTTAAATATAAATAAAACTAAATATGAACTCTGCTGTTCATAAAGCTCTTATACAAATTCAATTTACCAATTATGCACAAATTTTAAAAATGTTCATTTAATGTGGTACATGATGTTTGCTGAGACAAAACTGCCCTTAGAAACCTCAGCATACTACGACTGGCCTGTATGCATGCTTGTATGTGTGTCTTGTGAGGACTCTCCTTTCCCATCACTTTCCATTTTCAAATGATGAAAATTTTCAGTTGTACAGTAAGCCTTGAAGGAGGAGGGTCACTTTATTTCTTTTCTCACTAGCTCATGACAAAGTAGTATTACTTTGTGCCAACTTGGTTTTAAAAACAGGCTCAAATACATGTCCTAATTATGTGGCAGCTGTTACCATTCAGTCATCCAGATACTCCAGAATATGCCTGAAACTGAATGTAAAACATACTTAGAGAAAAACTCAGACTCTGTCATCGGATTCCGGTTTGATAAACACTGTCCTATTATAGTATGTGTAAATAAATATATGTTTAAATGAGACTATTTTGTTAGCTTCTTAGTAATACTTTATGGTACTATTATCTGAGTTCCTGCATTATAATGCAGCACTTGACTCCTGCTTCATTTGGAGAATCAAGTCTCCTGTTTGTATGGGCCATTCTGTCTCACTAGTCCAGGCCCCTGAAAATGGGTGCATTGGAGACCATCAGTTAAACCATCATCACTGTTCTTTGATCTCTAAATTGAGTGAAAGAAGATATACTCAACAGTGGGGTAGCCAAATAACTGAAGCAAGACATTAAATTTTAAGGAGCGGTTGAGGAGTTGGTAGGACAAGACACTGTTTGGGGCTCATGTGACAACTCCCCACTTCTCCCAACCCCCTTTATCCTTCCCATCCTCCTGCATTCTTTCACTGTTCCTCTCCTTTCCATCTACTTCTACACTTCCCTCAAGGATCATTGCGATGTTTTTCCATAAAGTTAAATATATTTAATTTTTTTAATTGAAAGATTATGGCCTTATCATTTTATATTAAAATGTACTTCCTTTTGTAAAATAGTCGTAGGTAGTTTTAAAAATTGTCTTTGGCAAAATAAGTGATTGGTAACCTTGTGTTTTCCTCCGACTATTTTTAAAAATTTTACACGCCCAAGATCTGGAACTACTGTCTAGAAATGAGAGAGACGAGAAAGAGGTAGGAAGAAAGAAAAGCATGCGACACCTAATAAGTTGATTTATCAAGTTCAAGACGTTTAGCGCCTTAATGTACTATATCTTCTACAGCAGCAGAAATGCCTCAGTCTCATTTGGGAGTCAGGGAAGGCTTCACAGAGGAGGTAACGTTTGAGTTGGGGCTTTAAGGATTAGCAGTGGAGAAAAGGCAGGGCTTTCCAAGCAGAACGCATAATGTGAGCAAGAGCACAGAGCACAAAAGAGCATTACGTGCCCAGCAACTCTAAGAAGCCCGCCGGCTGTTGCCAAAAGTTCTCAGGGCTAGGCGATCAAGAGAGAAGCAGGGACTATTTTTTTCCTACTTGGCCCTCTTCCCCCGCAGCCCATCGCACAGTGCTGGGCACACACACTGCAGGAGCTCAATAAATACTTGTTAAATTGGGACAGGGTGATCGAGTGTGCTGGGAACCAAAGCCTCCGGATTCTTTCTCACGCACCCGCAGTGTGACCTTGGCCAAGTCCTTTTTCTTGGGACTGTGGCTTGCCGCTTAGTAATCAGCGGAGGGTGAGAAAGTGGAGGAGGATGTTGGCGTGAAGCGTCGGGCTCTTACAGCTCCTGGAATCCCTGATTCGACCGCCGGGAAGGAGAGGGTAGGGGGGTGCGCATTACCTGCGAAGGTTTTGGAGGTCTCCTGGCGGCCCCGGTAGAAATCCCGCTTGGCGGACTGCTGCTACCGCGAGTGGCGAGCGCGGTGGGCGGGCCGGGTGGCGGCGGCGGCGGCGGCGGCGCTACGTTGGGCTGGGGCGGGAAGCCGCGACGACAGCTGAGGTGGCTGCAGAGGCCACTGAGGGGCTGATTGGGTGGCCTCGAGCAGCGCCTGCGAGCCGTCAGGCGCTCCCCGGGCAGCAGTGGGCCGCAGACAGGTTAGAGTGGGGGCAGGGGCAGGCGCGGGAGCAGCCCCGGGCCGGAGTGGGAGTCTGAGCCAGGCCATCTCCAACCATGTCCGACGAGGCGTCAGCCACCACTTCGTACGAGAAGTTTCTAACTCCCGAGGAGCCCTTCCCGCTTCTGGGACCCCCTCGCGGGGTGGGGACATGCCCGAGCGAGGAGCCGGGCTGCCTGGATATCAGCGACTTCGGCTGCCAGCTCTCCTCTTGCCATCGCACGGACCCGCTCCACCGCTTCCACACCAACAGGTACAAACCTTTGCTGAGGGCAGGAGCAAATTTACCACACCCCTGCCTCCAGTCGGACAACGCCGGCTCCCCCCGTATCCTGGCCCTCCGCCTAGGGGCTGTGCGTCCAGTTGCACCCTCCCTCACCTTTCTCCATCCAGCTCTCATTCTCGGGCTCCTTCCCTCTCCCCCTCCCTATTGCATCCCTTCCCTCCTATTTTCCTTTTGGCCGGCATTTTACTCTCTCCCCCCACCCCATTCATCTTCTGACCCTTCCGTTCCCTTCCCTTCCCCCTTCTGCCCCATCTGTACCCCGCGAATCCCAAACCCCCACCCTTGATTTTTAGATGCTTCCCTGTTTCCATCCACCAGCAAAAGTTTAACCCCTTCCAATTCCGGTATGCTATAAAGAAGATTTCGGGTGGCTCAAAATCAAAATCAGTCGACGTTTTGAAAGGTGGCATTTTAAAAGCTAGAATCTTCCTTTCCCTATTTTTTTAATGTCTTATAGCGCTGTTTCCAACCTCCAACCCCCCCCTCCCATTTTTTAGTGAAGCTCTAGAAAACCAGACGATTCTCTTTTTTTTCCTTCCTCTATGAACTCTTTGCTTTAGGCAGCGCTTTAGGCCCTGCCAAAATGTATAAGCTTAAATCTGGAAGATTCTTTCCTGAAGCACATCCTTTGGTTTGTTCCGCCAGTGGAGGGATGGAGGGAAGCTTAGGATGAGCTTGCTTATACAAATTTTTTCAGAGGGTGCATCCCCTAACTAGTTTTATTAGAAGGTAGAGTGTTCTGGAGAATTCTCTCATGCAGACATTTGTGTTATATCAAATGTGGGGAATTTGAAGATGTTTTACACACAGCCCTAACCTATAACATAGGCGCATATTATATGTATTTGTGTATGTGCATGCTCAATCGCTCATGTCTGACTCTTCTCTTACTCCATGGACCATAGCCCACCAGGCTCCTCTGTCCATGGGATTCTCCAGGCAAGAATACTGGAGTGGGTCGCCATGCCCTCCTCCAGGGGATCTTCTTTACTGCTAAGCCACCAGGGAAGCCTGTATAGGGGCACACAAACAGGCAGGGCAAGGTGTGTGGAGAACAAGGGAGGAGGAGG